AGGTGAGCAGTATTATAGATGTGTATAAGAGACCACAGCAGCACCACAGCACCACCACAGCAGCACCACAGCAGCACCACAGCAGCACCACAGCAGCACAGCAGCACCACAGCAGCACTATACTCACGGCTGACGCCGCCAGGAGGTTGCGGGTAGCCTGCAACAATGGACATGTTAAGAAAACTATTTTCTTTATATTATATTAGCTTAATTGTTCATATGTTCATATTACATATTAGGTTATTCATATTATATTATATTAGGTTATTCATATTACATTATACGAGTTTAGTTATATCTTACAGTGATCCATTAACTCCCAAATGCCTTCGTTAGCAAATTTTTTCAGATGTGAACAAGGTTCAAAATTTTTAAACCTCCACACGAACAAACATGTCTTTTTGCGAACCCAATTTCAGAGTTGATTTGGTGAGATATTGAATTTATTTGAGTTAAACCTAATTAAATACTAATATTGTTTTAACATACAAACGTTTCCTCACGAGAACCCAGTCATGGAATGAATCTAGTTTTTAAATCAAGGTATCACTGTTTTATTTTTTTAAGGTATCAACCATATCATTATGATAATTACCCATAGAATTGCTCCTCTATAATGAAAACTAACCACAATAAATTATGTGTTATTTAACATGTTAAATATTTGATAAAATAATACCAAATAATCAGAAGAGCTCAAAAAATTAGTATTATTGAAATGCATAGCACAACCGTGTTGATGTCATGAAAATAGGTTTGAAATAATCAGAAAAATAATTTTACTTTAATTTAAGTGCCAGATAAAGCATATTGATAATTTCCAATTGCAAGGTTTTAATTTGCCCATCCAAACATAGCCGCACCAGCAGGCAGTTGGCAGTTTGCCCAACATACTTAACGTGTATTAATTCAACATTAATTACTGATAATTATATATATGTCATTTAATATTCAGCATTATTTATAGATAATATTAGCATTAACAGTTTACTATACACTCACCAGGGGCTTGCTGGGGCTGAGCTGCATAGTTGGGTGGCGGCGCTGACAAATACAACATATTTAATGCTGAACTTCTCATTCAAATTTATTACATTATATGCTTAATTTGTATGCTTATCAATACAGTATACTTGATGATTTATATCAAATATTAAATACATTAGTGTTTCATGGGTCTAAATCCTTTAATAAACTCTGGCACAAATAAGATGAAAATTGCTTCAAGTTTTTCATATTCTAACATTACTCCTATTTAATTTACTAACTAAATGCATAATTACTTTAAATGAAAATGCCTCTTTAGTTAACTCGAAAAGTGCAATGATAATCTGAACAATTTATTAACATAATTTTTTATTATCATTTCACTCTAAAGTTCCATAACATACAAATAAATTTATTTGCTTACCATGGCTCTGCTGGTGGAACTGTTGGGCACCTCCATATGGCTGAGGAGGTGCAGTCCCTCCATATGGCTGCTGTGGGGGTGCTCCATATGGCTGCTGCTGCTGCTGAGGGGCCCCATATGGCTGCTGCTGCTGAGGGGCCCCATATGGCTGCTGCTGCGGAGGGGCTCCATATGGCTGCTGTGGAGGGGCCCCGTATTGTGGGGCCGCAGTTGCTGCAGAAAAAACTTCTTTGTACAAACACAACGGCAGAAAAAATATTGATGTTGATAGTGCATGTGATGCCCATCCTGGTGGTGGCAACTATGGGTTGGAGTGGGTGATCAGTGGCCCAATTTCAGTAAATAAGTTTATCTAAAGTAGTTATACTAACATCACTGGCTTGCTGACTGGCCAGGGCCCATATTTTCAAAAAAGTCAAGAGATCGTAAGATCATGAGCCAATCATTGACGGGCTTTCAAGCAAAATCCAGCAATCATAGACAAGAAAATAGGGCGTAAGTGCTTACGTTCACTTAATCATAGACAAGAAAATAGAGCGTAAGTACTTACGTTCACTTAGCCAGTTTTGAAAGTATGGCCCCAGAACTACTTTATTCATCATGCAACATCCAGGCAAGCCAGGCACTCATTCATCAACAAGAATTGGATGAATGGCTAAGTTGGCCATGAGCTGAACCTCCCGAAAGAACTTGTCCCGAGTCAAACAGAAACTACGTGCACCCCACCGCATCACCCCAGCACTAATGTTGATAGTTGCAGGAGTTGGTAGAAAATACACTCTTCATTATAATAAGTTCTCGCTCTCATTATTATGAAGGAACAAAATATTCTTTGTTAATCAACAGAACAGATAGTAAGAAAACTGAGTTTCTAATTTACTACAGCCTAACTTCAGCCAGGAAGATTCAAGAGTCCATGCAATTGATGAGAAATGCTAAATATCTCTTTTGACCAAATAAGATAAATTCATTTAATTGCACAGATTAAGACTTTCATCTACAATATTACAACTCTAAATTAAATTATTTTAGTTAAATTCAACATTTTGTGGCTCAATCAGAAAGTTTTATCATGAACTAAGTAGATAAGGTACAATCCATCTTCATCAATGACACATAAGTCGCCACTCTGCAGCTACTGCACTCAAGCTGTTGCTTGACACCAAAACTCAGAATTTAACTGCAAATGACACGCACAATTTAAAATCTATTAAAAAGAAGATTAATTACCTTGATATGGAGCATTAGGAGCCTGACCGCTGTATGCTCCAGGATACTGCAATAGAATATGCTTGCTAAGGATTATTTGTTTGTTATTGTTACCAAAAATCAAGGAATCAATTTATAAGATTATTACATCAATATTACATGGTAAACTTGTTTTTTTTTTTCATACATGTGGAATTAAGGACCAGAGGATGCATTTACTTAAATTATCAAATTGAAACAATCATGTCATATGATGTCATTGAAATGATATGAGGATAATATTTGCTTCAAAAGCCATAATTAGAGCCTTTTGCCTACTTTGAAGGTTATTGAGATTCCCACTTGAAGAATTAATTCTTTTCTACCAGTCAATAGCTACATTTCTTTCTCAATCCTAAATTCTAAAATATCCTTAAACTTTATAAGAATGCTACACCTGGCACCTTTAGGTTTCCTAATCCTAAAAACATACAATCCAATATGATTCATTGATTGTACAATGAGTTTAATGATTAGAGAACCTGTTCATTAAATGCCTTTATCATTTTATGGCTAAATCCATCTATCTATGGCTTTAAAATTCCACCCAATTTAATTGCTTCAATATTTTGCCAGCATGTCTGTAATTATAATACTCACATTCATTGTTGCTGGTTTAGGCTCTGTGACTGTGAGAGTGAGTGAATTGAAGTAATCAGTCTGAGACTGAGAGTCACAGCAAGGTTGCTTAAAGTTAAAGGAGACTAAGGAGTCAGAATGTCACTGAACTATTGTAGATGTAGGATTGCTGATCTGAGCAGGACAGGAGCAGCTAGCCTACAAAAGTTAGATAAATTATTGCACATCAATTAGTCTTTAAAAATGCACTCATCAACCAAGTCTTCAAGCGACAAGCTTTGAAGCCTCGAAGGCTAACATTTGTACTGATTGTACACAAACACAAGTACACAACTAGGCTAACCAGGACCTACCAACTTACCAAGTGTAGTATACAATTACAACCTTTACAATTAACGAACAAATTCATGGCGCACCCATTACAAAATGGCAGGCAACTCACGCCTCACGGCTCACGGTTGCATCGGTCTACCGACGGTACGATAGTAACGGTAGACTACCGTTACTATCGTAAATATAGGTACATAAAACTAAACGTTTTCACGTATTACGTTATTTGCGCTCAAATATCATAAATTATAATACTTATTGTCAAAATAATACTAAAGCCAGTTTTATATAAAACTAATCTAAAGTATAACTAGGATTCAAAGAATTTGGCTTTGGGATTTAAATTTAATCAAGTGCACAGTAAGCGAAATGACGATTGACAACCACACCCAACACTTTCATCATACGATTTGATTATTCTTATCAACTTATCAGTTATCAGCAGCATTTAAAGCTACGGGCTCAACTGAATGTGTACGTTTCGCGTGGTGCTCTGGCGTCATGCGTATTCTCCTGAAACAGTTTTTTTTGCGTAATTCCAAGTTACTGGCATGAATTATAATGTGGTTTTTGATGCAATTATTACACTAAGTTGTTTCGAAATTTAACATAAATATGTAACACTGTAACTAAAAAATAATTATAGTTCGCATTTGACATGATATGACCGAAACTGACGTACGAAGGAGCAAACAGAAGTGCGACCGTAATCGATGTACACACACCACACGCGTAGGTTTATTACGAACTGAACAACATTGTAGTGATTGTACAATTGGTTACAACAATGACTATCCCTATTGCCACACTGGTTATCTAAACGCTAGTTAGAGGAATACCACAAACGCTAAAATCGTAGCATATATAAGGATTCTATATTTAATTTATTTAATTTAATTTAATTTAATTAATTGTTAATTAATTTAATTTATTTAGTTTAGGATTCAACTAATGATCCTTTAATCAGCTCTTCTCACATTTCAAGTTGCACTCGGAGATTCAGTACAGCTGGCTTATATACATAAATTTAAATTATTATCCCATGTGCAGAGTAAACGTTGCACGCACTTGAATAGATTAGTCACCTCGACTGATAAATGTTATCAACTTAATTCTGTGCAGAATTTTTTTACTATTTGAAAACTGCAGGAGCACCGGAAGCGGGTCTATGTGACCTGTTGCTTTTTGAGTCACGCTTAACGCGCTCGTAAGTCCGAATGTTATAGGAAAGTATTTGTAAGTCATAACACTGCCAGACTGTTGGGTTAACTTGAGGGGGACCATCTGCGTGACTTTGGTTTAGTCTTATGAACGGCTAATCACGACAAAGTGGAGACCCTAGAAATACCCAACGCCAAGGATGAGACAACGCCAAAGAATAGACCACGTTAAGAAAGAGACCAGGGTGGGCAGGTATGGGAGGACTTAACTCTCAAGTAAACATTGTTTTTTTTACTCCGTTCGATGGAAGATCAAGATGAGCAAACCGTCCCAGGACTTTTATTCATGTCAGAAACCTACAAATGATTCTCGTTCGCTATAAATTAACTGGAAACAGAAATAAGTTTAGGAGGGTGGCGTGATGAAATCGGCTTAAATGAGGAACAAATCGTCTGCTGGCAATAAAATCCGCTCACGTGCCATGCAGTGGGGGCTGCTCTAGGAGTGGAGCTGCGTCCTCAGGCGTGGGCTATGAGACAGCGAGGCGGTCCTCTTGGTGGCGAATATGAGATGAGCTGTCTGCATATGTTGCTTTGGGGGTCTCAGTTATGTATGAACAAGTATAATAGCGCAGTATTGATTAGGCCATTCGCCTATCGCTGCTTCTTAACATCGCAGAACATTCACTGCTTGTCGTGGTTTCGAACTTGCAACTCACTGCTCCAATTCTGCTGTGCTTAACCACATAAGGTTGACCCACGAGAAGCTCAGCTTTGCAGCAGTAATTTGTTGTCCGCAGGTGACGCCACTGATCTCAGTGACGTCACCGGTGATAACAATCGCTGAACTGAAATCAAACCATTCAACCTATCTGTTACGTGAATCACGAGATTGTTTAGGTTTCTCGAACTCAGTGCTTCACAGGACAGATGCAATGAAAGGCGACAATCCTCGTGGTCGTGGGTCAACCTTGGTCCAGCGACGGTGACAAGTATGTGACAAAGTAGAGAAATTACTCTGAAATATATTTCAGAGTATTTCTCTACTTTGTATATTATAATACTCTACTTTCTACAGAGTATTTCTCTGTATAATTTTAATTATAATTACTCTGAAAATAATTTCAGCGTCCGGACGAATCCTGTAGTTTGGAGGTTGATAGCAGGAGACTCGCTCTTGATAATGAGGGCCTCAGCTATCGACAGTCTCGATAGGTCGGGGCACATCATAACTATGCTGGTGCAGGCCTCTAATGTCGCTCGGGCGACATTGGAGGCCTTTTTGTCCCTTTTGTCATTGGAGGCCTTTTGTCGACCTCCAATGTCCCTTCGTCCGGACGCTGAAATTATTTTCAGAGTAATCTCAAGCTAATATTTTAAAATTTTATCCACTATACCATTCATATGTACTTCTGTCATTCCCAAAATTTAATTTCAAGTGTTGTAAAACCTTCACCAGCTTGATAATGAAAATTGTATTTTCGAAACGTCGCAATCTATTAAAATGTCATTCGGAAACCTGCTTTTCGATCTTCCGGCTCCAGCTAGAAATTTGGTTCGACTAATTGAAAAGACGAAAAAGAAGATTGTTAATAAAAAGCATGCTCTGGTCTTCAATCAAACTTGCATAAAATTTGAACTAAACATCACCGTTAGGTCCTAATGAACACGTGTACCAAATTTCACCGAGCTGCGTTCATTAGTTTGTGAGATATTCATTGGTCACTAAATTTAGGGACCGGCCGCAAATTTGTCCGAGACAGGTGGACCGACCAGCATGACGCGCAGCAGGTTTAGTCTGCTTGTATACTCTGAATGTAAAGGGTCTGTAAGGTACAAGACAATTAAGGTAATCCCGCTATACCATGTTTTGACCTTTGTCTTGATTATAATAGTATCATCGGCGTTGAAGAATAGGCCTGGTTAGGCCTGTCGCCGATGCTTGTGATCCCTCACTGACGCGGATTATAATTAAGGTTAAAATTGCCGTAGGCGAACCTCTTCAGGTACCCCGCCAGGGAGAAAACGAAAAAATTTAAATGTGATTTCTAGAATCTAGATTGATGGAACACGGCCTTCCCTTCCAGCTAGAATCTAGATTGTTGGAACACGGGCTTCCCCCCACCCTAGATTGATAGAAGGATCAAGCTTGATAAGACATGTTAAGTTTTAACTCACGAGTTATTGTTATGTGTGAAGTGAAGACGCGATCGAATGATGGCTTTGAATAAGAGATTTTCAACTTTTTTGGCCTTTTTCCCCTTTAGGATGGGGGAGGGAAACCTTCAGACAAACCTATCATTGAAGCAATTAAATTAATATCGACAATGAACATTGCCGCTTTCATGGTGTTCACAAATTTCACTATATATCTTTATTCACCAGAAAACAATTAAAATTGAACGCAATCGTTATTTTAAAGATCGAAAACTCCGTTGAATTTTTCCTACGCTGCGTAACCCCGGCACATGTGTCCTACGTTTTTCCTGCACCACGTATCTATAGCACATGTATCATCAAGTCCCGTCAAAAAGACTCCTATAGCGGTTTATATAGCGGTTTCAGCGTTAATTAGCCCGGAGGCCTATCGCCGATTCTTAACATTGCAGAACATTTACAGCTTGTTGCGGGCTTGAACTCGCAACTCACTGTTTCAAATTTGTTTTGCTTAACCGCCCGGCCTCCTTGCCGATTCTGACCAGAAACTGGCGCACCGAGCTGGGATCGAACCCGCGCCTCTCTGCTCCAATCTTGGTACTCTGAATTTTAAACACTGGGCCACCCTGCCCATGGATGTGCACGCAATTTGCGATTAACAGCTAGTGGCTGCTTACGTTCCATTAATTTCCTGTTCCTGAGACGGTTAGTGTTAACCATGTTAGATAAGGTCACGCTGTTCTCAAAGCTGCAGCAACGTAACCTAATTAACAGGAATAATGTTCGGCCACGGATGCAGGCATAGCCCTTGTTGACGTAACAAAACCGTATTACTCAGGATAATTAATACATGCAAATTCAGAATCCCCTTATCCCGATTGCCGTCATCCTAGGCTATTCCAGATAGCTACAAGAAAAATTTTCAGGTAAAGCAGGTTACATCCCTACATGGTAATTATCCTAGATATGTATGGGAGAAACTCCTAGATATTTGCGCACAAGGCTTTAAAGGCACATACCAGAAAACTCGATTAAATATTAATGTACACCTGGACGCTGAACCGATGTATAACATTTGTTTCAATTAGTAACGACCGCATCCACTGTCTCGTCAGCAACCATGTGAGGGTTGATTTGGTAAAAAACTAGGTAATAAATGTTCGTTTGTTTATTCAAGATACGTTACCGTCAATTTAAAGTGATTTGAGTGGCAAACGTGCACATGGCTACTTTTCTATGGAGTATGCTTGAATGTTATCTTTGAAACTATCAGGAACTTCCTGATCGTTATAGTATGCAACACCCAATACGCAACACCCAAGATATAGTATAGTATAGTATAGTATCTTCGGCATTAAATAAATAGGCCTGGATAGGCCTGTCGCCGATGCTTGTGATCCCTCACTGACGAGGATTATAATTAAGGTTACAATTGCCGTAGGCGAACCTCTTCAGGTACCCCGCCAGGGAGAAAACG